CCCCTCTCGGAGCCGCGCTGCCCCGGTGCGGGTCTGCGGCAGAGACCCCCGGTGGGAGGGGGCGCAGCATCCCTTGGAGCGGGACCGGACTGTGCGCCTGCTCCCCCCCGCCGCCCTCCTGCACCTCCCGAATTGGGTCAGAGAACCCCTCGCACCTCTCCGCACCGGCTACTCATTGCGGTGTCGTCCTCCCCTCTGCCCATCGAGATGGAGATGAGGCACCCACACCTGGAGCCCCCTCTCGCGAGCCCGGCAGCGGAGCCCTAAATTAGAGCGCGGTTTGGGTCACAGCGCGCACTGACGCTTTTTTAGCAGAGAAGTGGAACAAAAGGAGAAGGGCCAGGAAGGGAAAAGGCTCGGTGCCGTTTACCCCCCGTTCTCCTAGGGGTAAAAGTTAAAGTTGGCTTCCTTGGGCTACTTTGTTTTTTTTGCTTTTGCCCCCAAAGAACAAGATGGAGAAGTCGGTGCTGTTTCTGTGCTCTCCCATCTATCTTCTTCTGATAATTAGGGGTGGGAGGAAGTAAATCAAGGCGGTACAAAGAGAATTATTGCGAACTTTTAAAGTAACCTGAAAAAACCTGCTACAACCTGGTTTTTAGAGTGAGCTTATACATGGTAGCTATAATAACAGGATGTTTCTGAGACTTAGCATAAAAATTATCTTTCTGAAGCCTATACACAATCTGAGTGCCATTTTAGTAAAAGAAATAGCCAGTCTATAGATAGCATTAATTTCTTTACGTCTTCCTCTCAGAGGTAAGCACAGTGTTTCAAACCACCTTGTGTACTCATGCTGAGGTAAGCACTGCAAGTTTTGAGGTATCCCGTTTGGATAAACCGTGGAGTAAAGGACATTACTGTCTCTTAAAAGCAGAGATAGCAAAGCTGTTGTAGCTCCATTCTGCATGTAAAGCTGTACCAGGCTCAGTAGCAAAGAGGAAAATGATCTAATGAAGAGTACATTCAGCAAAAATTAATGTTGAGAGAGACGATTTTACCAGGGCAGCCCTCAGCAGCTCTCAGTGGAGATACTGAGTATGAGTCTACGCATGCTGAAGGAGCTGCGGGCAACCTTACAGAAGTATGAAACCACTTTCTCAATATACACGTAACAAAACACGTTTTCAGAGAATGAAAAAATGGTGTTAGTGTCCCAGTACAGAGCTGAAGTGGAGGTAATTACGTTATCTCTGCAGTTTCACATCTCTCTCCAATGTCAAGTTAAAGGATTATGGTTGGTTTTGTTAGGACCTGGAATAAAAATATTTGGGTTTTGTTTGATTTGTTGTTTTTTTTAATCTTATAAAGATTATTGAAAAGCTTTCAGAAATTTTGCAGCTGGAAACCTTATGTTTTCCTTCTCTGTCACGTGTTGGTTTGTGCCAGTTGTGAGCTGGGAAACAATTGGAAATTTAAGAGTGGAAAACACAGTGGTTCTGAAACAAGTTCGGAATCCATAAACCATGTTTCCAGATGCTTCTTTTAGAGTGTTTTCCTGCAGAAATGCTATTACAGAACACTCTGGTTTTGAGGAAAATAGCACATTTTGCAGGTTTTTTCGTTGTAACTTTTTGAAGCCCCTCTGATGGAAATGCAGGAATACCAGTTTGTGCATGTGAACGCTGTGCTTGCGTACCCACGACACTCCCTCAGTTGTGCTCTGTATGGCACACAAACGTCTGCACGCCCACACAGCCTAACTGAGAGGAGTTTAAGCTGAGTGAGGAATGCATGGCTGGTTTTACTTATCTGCTGCTCATTTGCCAGCCAAACTGTCGCAGTAATCAGTGATGTACGATGTGTGTAAGCAAGAGTGGTTCATTCTTTCTATCCTTTCAGAACTAATCTATGTAAGAAATAGCTTTTATTTTTTTTCTCCAGTTGCTAAGATTTTGTCCAGCTAAACCTTTGGTCCCAGTACTTTTAAGAATTTTAAGACATTTATGTGACACTTGCGTTTAAATTATTACATTGGAACTGGAGCACAGCACAAGCTATAGTATTTAGGAGGCAATACATACAGAATGACCTAATATCTTGATGAATTTGGAATGCTTTAGCTGTCTAGATTTTACATTAAATTAGTTGGCAGATTTAGGAGAATAAAAAGGTCAACCCCAAATGCAACTTGCAGCAAACAGTTGGGTACCTTTATCTCATCCTATTAAAAAAATGGCATGAAAAACTAAGGATTGCTGATAAAAGATCTAGCCTGGATCTTAGGGTTCTCTAGCAGTTATTTAATTTTATTTTGTTTGAAATTAGTAACTGTCTAGCTCTTCATTCCAGCTAAGGACTAACTGGTTGTCAGGCTGCTTGCTCTTAGCCCCAGTGGTGCAGTCACAGCCGTGACACAAGCAGGTTTGTGATTGGAGAGCTTTCCATCCAGAGACACTGGTCACTCAGGAATGATGTTGCTTTTCTTTATATATATTTTCTTTATAAACCTCTCTTGCCTTTCATCTCCTTGTGTTGAGTTTCAAGTTTAGGACTTTTCTGTGACTTCAAGCTTATCTGGTTGGTGTGGGTGAAATGATGCAGCCCCACGCATGGACCAGGATGGAGAGGGAGCACCCTTGCCAGTAGCATGGCTGATGGGTCAGGTCACAGCACACGTGGAGAAGCTTCTGCGCTTTTCCCTGTGGAGAGCTGTCCCTGCAGAGGGAGGGAGATAATTGGTGTCCATGTGGCTGCATCAGTACTGCTGTTAGGGTGAAAAAATCTCTCACTGTGCCACAGATATGTGCAAACTCTAAAGAATGGCCTGTGGTCACCTGGGGCATGCACCTTCAAGGCAGAAAGATGCCCAGCAAGGCCTGGTATGCTCATCTCTCTGGACAGTTTGGAGAAGGAGGTTATGCTTGGCTTGGCTGAGTCTTTCCTCCTGGCCTTTCTGCAGGTGTTTTATCTTGCCAGGTACAAGCTGTTGGGGAGCCCCTGAATCCTCAGATGGGGATTCCCAACATGGTTTGCTTTAGAGAATGTGCTCAGTGATTATGGGAGCATCTCCTTGCCCTTGGGATGTGTCCCTGCCCTTCTCTGAAACACTCTTGAGAGGTGCTGGTAGCGTGCACTTCTCTTGGAAGTTCTGGTGTGGGAAATACCTTTGCCTGCTCCTGGGGTGTGTTGGAGACCCCCAGGCTGTGGGATTCCAGGTAGCCCCAAGCAGCCCAGAGGGAGCACAGCAGGGGACCATTACAGCCCATTACCCTATCAGGCACTCTCACAGGTGCTGGTTTATGTCTACATAATGTATGAAATGTAATCAAAAGGATTGTTCCACAAAGTGATGTAAAGATGGCAGAGCACACGCTGAACACACGCCTAAAGATGCTGCTGAGCGCAATGTCATAGCCAGCTTTCCTCTTGGCTGATGGAATCACTATTTTATATTTATGCTCATTTGGGAAATCTATAAATATATAAAACATAATCAGACAGCTGTAGATGAGTTTTGCTAATCCACAAATTCATTATTCAAGCATCTAAAAATATGTGGTCCTTGCTGCAAGTAGAGAATGATACTACAGAAGGAGGAGAAGTGGCTGTTACTCGTGATGTCTCATTTACATGGAACATTGTGGATGCTTTATGATATGATTACAGCCAAGATTTTCCCTCTCAAAACAAGTGGCATGCAGTGTGGTTATTTAGCTCAATGTAGGCAGACAGATCAGAATACATATAAATGCCTAATGGTAATATTTCTCATTAGCTTGATTGCCCCAGGCCAGAGGGCCCAGGGGGCTCTGATGTGTCCAAATGAGTTTTGTAAAGTTGCAGTTGTTAAGGCTCTCTTCATCTACCTCAGAGCAACAAAGTAAATGTGGATTCAGATGCCCTAGTAAGGCTTGATAAAGCATGTTAGTGAAGGTGAGAAGTGACAGCCAAACCCAAAAATACTCTCCAGATAGAGGACAGAAAATTCACCACAATGTGGTTGGTGGTGGGAGGAGAAATTTGCGGTACCATGACTGTCCCCAGATGGAATTAGCAAATTCTGTTGTGTATGTGTGTTTTTAGGGTCGTTCAATAGAAGAAAAAGAAATTCCCTCTACGTAACTGTGACTCTCCTCATTGTGTCAGTATTAATTCTAACGGTGGGCCTAGCTGCTACAACAAGAACCCAAAATGTGACTGTTGGAGGTTATTACCCAGGGGTTATTGTAAGTATAGAACTCCTAGGTAGGTCTAGAAAACTTATTGCCTACAAAGTCCCTTGTAATGCTGCAAATGTTATAAAGGGTGATCATGTCCTGAATATTATGTTCAGCTACTTCATTGCCATTTGATTTATTTGTTTTGTTATTATTTTGCACCTGTTGCTCATTCCCATGCAAAAATCCCATCCAAGTGGGAGCTTCCTCTGAGCTTAGGTAGTAACATACTTTTGAGCTAACAGTGAGACGGATAAATAGGTCTTATGTTGAACAAAGCAACTTTAGAAGTTCTTTGCATACTTCACATTAACCCCAGGCAGAAGCAAGGCAAAGAAGGACCATAGGTGCCAAGAACAGTTGAGAGACCAGGTCTTGAAATACTGTTCATGTCAACTCGTGGTCATAAAGTTCACTTGCAGAAGTGTTTAACGATTCGGAGTCCCCGAATGAGGAGAAGCACATTAGCAATAGCTGTGGCAACTTGCCAGGGGAGCATGCACATCAAAGCAGCTAGCACATCTGTTTCTTCTTTTTTGTTATCGACAGATGAAAATGGGAAAGGACAATCTTCTAGCTTCAAATGGCTTAATTTAGAGAAGACCAGTGGTGCCCAGCCTTCGTGCCAGTAGATGTATAACCTCCTGCAGAAGCATAAGGGGCAAGTACATTGTGCCACTCCTGGCATAAGCAGAGGTCTAGCACGAGTCCTGGTCTATCCTCTGTGTGTCTGAGTCATACTCAAAAAGAAGCACAAAAAGGACTGAGCTGCAGCCAAATTTGGTGTCTTAGCAGGCTGAGTGTAACCAGAGCCCCCATCTCCTGGTGTGACAGCTGTGAAGTGCTGTGCATTTGGGTTTGAAGCCTCGACGTTGGAGGATTAAATCCAGTCCAGATGACTAGGTGGAGAGTTGTTCTTGCCTCATTCCAGTTTGATTTATTTGCCATGCATTGCTGATCTCAGTAAGTTTATACTTCTCTGTGGACAAGCTCTTCTGTGACTGAAGAAAGCCCCTCAAGAGCCATCAGTGTGGAACACCATTGCAGGCTGTGTTGGTTTAGGATTTATTTTCTGGCTTGTCCCAGTAACTCCTGCATTTAGCCTTATCTTTTTTGAAGAGGAGTATGGAAGGAAGGTGTTGAGAAAGGTGACAGGCGGGCTTCAAATGTTCCGCACTCGGCCTACGCTCTGTCAGCCTGAGCTGAACCTTGTGCCTCAGAGCAGGTCCTGCAGACTGATGCAGATGGGTAGAGGCTGTTGTTCAGGTCCCTGTGACATCTCCTGGGCTATTTATGATCCAGGAACGTCAGCATCACTTACACTTTCGTAAGACTCTTGTCTACTCAAGGAATTAATAAATTCCTGGACTTGGGAAGCATGTTGAGTTACTTTATTCATAGGCACCCTGACAGTTTGTGTTTGTCACTGAATTCCCCCTCTCAGATCATTATTCCACCGTGTGGAAATGTGTGACGACCTTGCCTGTGTCTCTGCACAGGAAAACATTTCAGTGTGCTGCTGGATGCTTCAGCAGGTACTTAAAATAGCTGATGTTTCGTAACAAGCTGGGATTCCTCCTTTTACTATGGAAGAAGGGCTTGCTGTGGTGCATGAGTGCTCAGGGAGTTGTCCCTGAGCAGGTGGCTTCCACAGACCCCAAGAAGCAGCTCCTTGCAGGTCTCGTAATTCAGAACTTCACACAAACATTATACTTGCGTGCATCTCCATCAGGGGCTTCTGTGCACCGTGAGTGGCGCACCACCTTTAGTCATACCCCGGGTACCTTGCATTGGTAAGGAAAAGACAGAGACAGAAGTCTCTTTGTGTACTGAATGACTTCTCTGTGTGTGGACCAGGTCTATGGATGGGATCATCTCATGGGATATCAAATGTCTTGTTGCTGCCATGCCTAATGCACTGTTCTTCCCTCCTTTAACTTGTGTGTCTTGGGCAAACACCTCTTGTGCAAGGAGGAAACATGCAAAGAAGTGGCTGTCTGATGTGGGAGATTATCTTCCCAGGCCTCTGCTCCTGATGATGGACAGAACCAGGCAGTGGAGACCTTCCACACATCAGTGGGATTTTGTTTGGTTGGGATTTTGGGTGGGTTTTTTTTTCCCAAACAGTGCAGTTCCTCACTGACACAATGGGAGGAGCTGAAGCAGAGTCCTGTAGCCAGGCTGCCTTCACCCTCCTCCATGACCACCAGCATCTTCACAACTACATCTGTGGACACCCTGTCTGTGGGAGATGTCCTGAACTGTGGTGGGATGGCTGACCTGGGCCTTGAAGCCCAGAGTGTAACAGCGATGCTCAGCAGACAAGAGGACCATAGGGAAGCATGCCTATGGAAGTGAGGCTCTCTGAGGTACGTGTATTTTCTCCAGGTTATACCATCTTCCAGCATCTGTGCACATTGCTGACCTTTCTTAGGCTTTGACTGGGAGAACTCTTCTGTAATAGTTCCTTGTCAAGCAAGTTGGCCTGGAGCTTTGCCCTGGAAAAGCATATGCATTTTGCATCCTGTCCTCCTTTCAGACACATCCCAGAGGACCGTATCCACCAGCAAATACGTGATACAGCTGATGCAGATGACTAAGATCTCTTTGTCCCATCCATAAAAGAATGAGTGGTATTTTTTCATTAATGCAATGAGAATTCCTAATAATTAATGAGAATCCACTGATTTATTTAAGTCTTCTCCTGTTGGATGTACAGACTTGCTCTGATTTTTCTTTTTAAACTATCTTAAATTATATTAAGTTTTTTACCTTTTGATTTGAGGCTGCTTTGAAACCATATGGATGTTTCTCTTAAATGTGTTGGATCAAGCTCAGAGGGCACAAAATGTTTTCCTTAAGCATTTGCCTTAGGTGTGTGTTGCCACACACCTTCCTTGCTGCTAAACATCTCCACACTGAAAATAATGCCTGGCTCTCCCAGTTTTTTGGCTTAGAATTGAGCTGTAAAACTCCTGTTACTTATGGAAGGTGGGGGTTGTTGCTTGCCCAAGCTGAGCAAAATGCCGAGCCCAGAAGTACTGACAGGGAGGTGTTTCTTCCCCTCTGCTCTGCTCTGGTGAGACCATACCTGGAGCACTGCATCCAGCTCTGGGGCCTCCAACATAAGAGGGACATGGACCTGTTGGTCCAGATGAGGGCTATGAAGATGATCAGAGGGCTGGAGCACCACTCCTATGGCAACAGGCTGGGACAGCTGGAGTTGTTCAGCCTGGAGAAGAGAAGACTCTGGGGAGACCTTATTGTGGCCTTCCAGTACCTGAAGGGACCTACAAGAAAGCTGGAGAGGCACTGTTTACAAGGGGATGTAGTGATGGGATGAGGGTGAATGGTTTTAAAGTGAAAGAGAGTAGATTTAGATGAGGTATTAGGAAGAGACACTGGCACAGGTTCCCCAGGGAAGCTGTGGATTCCCCCTCCCTGGAAGTGTTCAAGGCCAGGTTGGACAGGGCTTTGGGCAAGCTGGTCTGGTGGGAAGTGTCCCTGCCCATGGCAGGGGGGTTGGACTGGATGATCTTCAAGGTGCCTCCCAACCCAAACACTTCTATGATTCTGTGATCATTTTGGGGTGGTTCATCAGCGCCCCTGGCTCTCTGCCCTGCCTGCCTCCTGCCCCACTGTTAAGCAGCACCCGGCTTCATTGCTGTGCTTCCCACCATGGTAGTTTGTCCCCAATGTGGGGACAGTGGTCTTCAGGAGCTCAGAGTGTGAGGCAGGCAGCTGGGAAGCAGCAGCCGTATCAGCTGCTCCGCTTTAATCCCTGCTGATGGAGCTGGCAGCCCTTACTGCCCACGGCACTGCACCAAATGTTACCGGGCCTAGGCAGAGTGGGGGAAGAGTCAAGCGCAACTTTTCATCGTGTTTGTGTCTGCTAATCTCTACACATGCCTCTGGCTTGTTAGTATCAGATTTACTAAACCTTTGATTTCTATTCTTGGATCTTAAAATATCAGTTCCGCATTAGTTGACTCATTCTTGAATCACTGCAGCTTATCTTGTGCCTTATTCTGATTCCTGAGGAGTTGGCCAGTTATTTGGCATTCTCACCTAGATCGTCACTTTTCCCCTAGTCTATTGACTGGATTTACACCGGCTTAATATGACCAGTCCAACTGTAAGACTTTTTTGGCATTTCTCATTTTGCTGACCCATAGAAGTGGAGTTAGCTCTACACCAGTCAAAGACCTTTCTTGGTGTGACACAGAAGTACTTCTGCATCTTCCCCCATAGCCCATGGTTCCTGATTGTCCTTATTTCTGGCCTGGCTGAGGTGTGCTCTGTCCTAGAAACTTCTGTTCAGTGTAGCTGAGTAGCTTAAGGCTACGGAGAAAGTAGGTGGGAAATTGCACTCCTGACTGACTTCACTGAGCTGAAATAAGAACAGTGGTGTCAGTTATGGCAGCAAGAAAAGACTCTTTTGCTGCAGTAGCTTCTTCTTTTGGTTGGGCTGCCATGAGCTCTTCTGGTAGAAGATGTTGGTTGATGCATCCACACCTCTGGAAATTAGGGAGAAGTAGAAGGCAGAAAACTGCAAAGTCTTTCCGAGTATGTTTTTCCTTTATTTCATACTTCATGTCAAGAGACTCTGAGTTGAGAAGTTAGGTGATTGCTCGCACCCTTGGTGAGGTTACAAAAGCCTGGTCCTGCAGATGCTATTGATGTGGTCCTGCTAGGTTTGCTTCTGGAGGCTCCTGAGTGTTCATAGGGTTGTTCCAAGGCAGCAATGCATATCCTCATCCACCAGCCATTTCTCAGCATCACTGGGAGGGGATGGAATTCAAAACTCATTCTTTTGGTTTCTACACACGCTTTTAGTGTCATGCAAGGGATACACCTGATAGTTCCTGCTAGTGAGAGACTCCGCTGATTCCTTGCTGAAGGAAGAGC